TAGCAAGAAAAAGTATGCAGTGTATGTAATCTAAAGTTGTGTGAGGGATAGAAAAGTGTATTTCCGCTGATATTGAAGTTGCAGGAGTAAGAAAAGATGAAAATCCATCCAGCAAAGAGTCTTCAGTGTCACATGTTTTTTTCTAATATGATGATTTGCTGTTCAGGACATGTCTTATTATTAATAACGTTGAAAGCTACATCATAATTTTGTGGAAACTGAAATTCAAAAGTCTGGGAAAAGTAAGATTCTTTTAAAATAAATTAATACTTTTATTTAGCAAAGATGCGTTAAATTGATCACAAGTTACAGTAAATATATTTATAATGTTACAAAACATTTATTTTTCAAATAAATACAAGAGTCAAAGAATCCTGAAAAAAAAATGTTTGGTTTCGGCAAAAATATTAAACAGTGCAGCTGTTTTCAACATTGATAATAATAATAATAAATGTTTCTTAAGTGCTTAAATCAGCTATTTTTGAATTAATTATGAAGGATCATGTGACACTGAAGTCTGGAGTAATGGCTGCTGAAAATTCAGCTTTGCTTCACAGGAATACATTGCAATACATATAATAACATACAATAGAATAATAAATAACAACAGAAAACAGTTATTCGGGGCCCCAAGCAGAGACAAAACTGTACACGTGTTTGATGCATTTCCTCCCCTCTGCCATCTCTGAGACAAACACCTTATCCACAACATTTATGATATCCAGACACACCAACCCAATGCTGAGTATCTTTTTGTCTCCCATATTCTCCCTGAAGAAAGAAACACTGAGCTATGGACTTCAGACGAAAGGTCATTACGTTACACTGTTCCGCACAGGAGCAGGAGAGCGTTTATCTTTCAGAGAATGGGAGAGCGTAAACATGGGCACGAAGTCTGACGGCTTTTACCGAGTGTTTCCGAAAGTGTCAGAACGACAATTTCCGATTTTTATCGAGTACAGCCGAAACTGTGCTTTCCGTTACGCTTTTGTAGCAAGTTTAATATTGTGTATATTTTAATCACAAATCATGCAAATGTGAATCTCACAGATGAAGAGGTAAAAGGTAAGAACATATTTTTATGTACTCTACAATTTTAATGGGAATTATTTACAATTTATTTACCTGTTGAAGTCTCAAAGTATAACCCAGACAGGGTTATAGGTGAAAACAGTTCTTATTCTTTTATATAATATTTAATTTAATTTACTCGGTTTTATATCTATGGCATGCTTTTACTAATCGTACATGCTCTACATTTGCGGGGGTGCTGTTCTACTGCATCTCTCCAGCTTAAGAACATGCTCTCTGCCTGCAGATGGCGCTCAGCTGCAATGCAAATGTCAACAATGTTTCTAACTCAGGGAAGCCACTGCTTGTGTTCTCCTGTGAGAATGCAAAGGACTGTGAAGACCTCTGCATTAGCATTTTGGAGAAAGGAGCTGATCCAAATGCAATAGATCAGGTTTGAGATCTGTCCTAAAATCATAGTTCAGATTAATGTCGCTTATATTTTTGACCCAAGAAGAATCAAAATTTTAATCATAGATGATTCAAAGATCTCTTTTACAAAGATTTAATATTACAATAACTTTTGTGGCTCATATAGTATGATATAGTGATAATATGAAGCTCATAGTAGGATGGGGAAAAAAAGAACACCTAAAAATGAATTTAGAGCAATTTGGTGCAGTTGCTAATATTTATATGGCCAAAAGTATGATGAAATTTTGATTGTAATGTAAATCAATGTGATCTTTATAACAGTGTCACAGACTACTTACATAAAATGCATATAAATATCAATCGTCACTCTCTCTCCCAATAATATTCTTTGTAAGATGATATTTAAATGTTTCGCTTTATGGTCAAAGTGCTATAGTTTTTACTGTGGGGGCAAAACATAATAGAGTATAGTGATGACTGAGAGATGGAAAAAAAAATGTTCCTTAATATGTATCATATTTGATACTCACATTTTAACATGAATTTGAAATACACAACCTGATGAGGGACGTTTTTAGAATAGTACTAAAAGGCCCTTTAATTGCTAAAAAAAAAAGTAGTAACTATCGATCAGATGACAAAAAGCATGTAGTTATTTGTGTGTACAACAAGTT